TGGAACATTCAAGTATCTGGAGGTCTCGTACGAGTGTGAGTAATTGTGTAGTTTAAGTTTGTTCAATTTTGAAAATTTAAAGTTGTGGCTGGGCTTCTGGGGAGCTACGACCAATGGCACCGAGAGGCCGGGGAAACCGAGGAAAGTACACCGGGGCCCGGGCCTTGCAGGGGCCCAGAATAACTAGGTAAAAAATAATAAAACAAAATAAAATAAATTAAAAAAATTATTAAACGTATGCATTCATCTAGTATCATTCATGTGCTTTCTCCACGAGGATTGCAAAAATAAAGCCGACAGTTCATCGATGAAATCTGGTAAAATCGCTTCTGATTTTTTTAATGAATATTTTCATGACCTTTACTAGTCTAGATTTTATGTTTACAATGTATTAAATATTAAATTCTTTACAAAAATAAAGAAATAAAAATTATTAAACGTTCATCCAGTACAATTAATGTTTTTCCCACGAGAATTGTAAATGAAGCTGACCGTTTATCGATGAAAGCTGGCTGGTAATTAATCGCTTCTCATTTATTTTCATGAATATTCTATTACTCTAGAGTTAATGTTTACTTTATCAAATAGAAAATTCTTTACGTCGTTAATTAATAATTATAAAAAGCTTGGACCCTGAACATCATCAATATACATACAGGCTAGGCAATCCAGCATTTGAAGTTTAAACAAATTGCAAACAAAGGTTTTTCTTTTTTTAATCAAATACATATAATGAGGGGATGAAATTCCAGAAATCACACCTCGGCCACACCTCGGTAACTTACATGCAAATTAACTAAAATATGCAAATATGGTGAAAAATATAGTGCTCTTATATCTTGGCAACCGCTGGTCGCATAGAGTTGCTTTCTGTTTCAAATTAATCAAAACACGCATGTTTCTATTTACTCTAATGGAACATTTGCCTCAAAAATGAACGGAAATGCTACAATTGACCTCTGACCCTATATTCACTGAATTTGCATCTAGCTAATGAACATAGAAACTTACTTTAGGTCTCAAATCTTTCAAATGCATGTTTCTTTGCGTCATATTAGTAGAAGGGATGGAAATCTATAATCACATCACGGTCACGTATACTCTTCATATGCAAATTAGCTCTTAATTATGCCAATTAATAATGAAAACATAGGAATCCCATATCTTGGCAACCGCTGGTCAAACAGAGTTGCTTTCTGTTTCAAATTAATTAGAACATGCATGTTTCCATTTGCTCTAATGAAACATCTGCCTAAAAATGAATGGAAATGCTACAATTGACCTCTGACCTTATATTCACTGAATTTGCATATCTCTGTGGCAATGTACAGTACATAGAAACTTATTTTAGGCCTCAAATTACTCAAATGCATGTTTCTTTACATTATATTAATAGAAGGGATTAAAATCTATCCTACTGTTCATATTCAAATTAGCTCTTAATTATGCAAATTTTAAGAATGAAAATATAGCGTCCCATATCTTGGCAACTACTGGTCGCAGGAAGTTGCTTTCTTTTTAAAATTATTCGGAACATGTATGTTTCTATTCACTCTAATAGAAAATTTGCCTTAAAAATGACCGGAAATGCTACAACTCACCTTTTACCTTATTTATATTCACTGAATTTGTAACGAAGTTCCCATCTCACGAAGTGACAATTCCATATTTCAGCTTAATTGGGGGAAAAATAATGACGTTTACTGTCGTTTTTTTCACTGAATCTTTGTTATTCCGACCAAATGGCAATGTTTAAGTTGTGGTTTTTTATGGAACACCAAAAGAGGAACATTAAACGTATGCAATTCCGCATCCGGTTTCATATGGAACGCCAAAAAGGCAACTTTCAAACACAGTTTTCAGTACAATAATTATATAATTTTCGCCTTCCCATCCCACGATTCTAGTGTTAAGCTTGGTTTTTATACAATCGCTTTACGCTATCGCCGACAGCTTCCAGTGAAGCTGATTGATCGGTCGAATCGGGGAGCCTTCCTGATTTCGGCGGGGACTGCATGCAATACGTCTATTGCACTGAAAACACTGTAGCGGCATTGTAGCAAGCGACTGTATAGAAAGCTTTATATATATTTTGAAATTCAAGGGTTTTGTTCTCACGACAACGCTTTTCACATTATTTTAGCTATACTGAAATTTAGTCCACCACAATTCTATCTTTGTAAGTCTGATTTGGTGGATGGTTATGTAAAGTTATAAATAAATATAGTGTCTTGCACAATAAATGGACATAATATTAATTATTTATTACGGTAATTCTCTTTTACAGGTGTGTGGTAGTGGAGCTACTGAAGGATGTGATCGACCGCGTTTAATGACAACAAAAAAGAAAACAATTAAAACTTTGATAATGCTATTTTTTTAGCAATAAAGAGTCCTACCAATATTTTTTATAACCTGTTTTTTCGTCTGTAAGTTTAATATTGTTGGATAATATAGATAATGGTACCTTTGATCTTTTGAAAGGGTATGTTGCTGTCCCTGGTAAAATATAATAGTTCATAGATCATGCTCTTCCTCAGTAATTAGGCTAAATTCCCATTTAGGCCTGTTTTCACGCGCATTCGCTTTACATAATAAGTTATGTTTTCAACCAGAACCCTATCTTCTGTAATTGTCAATTCATTTGGTGCCTCTTTTTTTCGAACTGTTTTCCTTATTTTAACGTATGAGGCCCTGATCGATAAAATCGGTCTCGCTGATGAAGTCAAACTTTTTACTAGGAAAATCAAGATTTTTGCAGAGAATCAAGGAACATTAGTGATTCATCATGCATTAAAGCCCTTTCACGTCTGTTCAGGTTCAAGTTTCAGTTTTTTGATAACTGTTCAAATCTAAAGTACAATCCCGTTCCCAGTTATTCATGTTTTTTTTTTTTTTATAAATTTAACTGTAATTCGTATTAAGATACAAAATACAATAGTTTCATCATGGTTTAAAATGTTCTGTATAATGAATAAACTGCTATAAAACAATATAATGTTCATTTTGATTCTTTAATTCCATAGAAATTTCACTTGATTTATACATTATTATTTGAGAGCAAACGGGCTGAGGTCACATACTGTAAGATAACCATTTATATCGTAAGGTTCTTCCCTAATCACAACACTTGTACCCCCCACATAATATCACAGGTCCACACTGCCCCCCCCCCCCCCAGAAATATT